AATAAAAAGAATGTATTGATGCAATGATTATTTATTTTTTATAGCTTTTTAGATGCCTTGAGTATTTATTTCAATTGTATAAATCTTTATTTTTCAGGTCAAAACAAAAACAGATTAACTAAAACTTTATTAGTTTTGGCCAAATAAAAATATTTAGCCTAAATATGTAGTTCTATCCAAGTTTTATTGTATTCGAATTTTTTTTATCTAAAAAGTAATATTCTTAAAACGGTAAAAATATATTTTATTTTTCAAAAAAAATACCACATATACAGAAAAATCCACGTGGCAGGCGAGTGCACCCATACTTTTTGCCACATCAGCGTCTAAGGGGGTAATGTCTCTCAAAAGGCCAAGTTGATGGGGGTAATTAAGACCGGGCATAGTTCGGGGAGGATACAAATAATCTGAGCCAAGTTTAGGGGTGGTTTAAAGTATTTTGCTTTTTTAATTAGCTAAGGTATTTATGGTACCAAAACGAGCCTGCAGGTAGCTTATTCCAAGTTATTAACATACTTAAGTAATGCATTCTGTGGGTGTGGATTAAGCGCCCATGCTCTCAACCCCATGGAAGAAATACGACCTCTCTCAAATTAATTAAAAATAATATTGTTATGGTTTCTGTTTCATTCTAAAGCTAAAAGCAAATTTCATGTAACGAATATAAAATTCATAGTAATACTCTTTGATATGCTGGTTGATCAATTATTCCTTATTGACTGATGGATTTATTTCTTTGGAAAGGTTTGTATTTGTCTGTCTCATAAAAAAAGAAACTCTTTATGATAGACTTATTATGTAAAGCACCACTTGTTCCTTCCGTTTGTAGAAAAGATTCCTATGTTACCTTTTATTTTTTATTTTTATACAAGCATTAGTACGTACCTTTCATTTTTTACACTAATTTATTCCACAATGGGATAATTAATATGTGTGCGCTAATTTATTGCACTAATAAATTGCTGTGAATTAAGCCGTGTAGGAGTAGTATGTCAATTATGATACTATCCCAATCATAATAAGTTCTACCTAACATCTAAAAATTTAAACAAAGGCATAACTCTACCTTTCCATTAAAAAAGAGGAAAAAGAAAAGGCAACTAAAGGTTGAAAATAAGGAGTAACATAAAAGCCTTAGCTTTCCTTTACACAATTCGTTTTATCTTTTTAACTTTTCCAAAATAAACCAAATATTCTTATTATATAAACATTGTGTTTAAATTTACAGCTGAGCTTTTGGGGTTCGAGGATTATATTCCACCCTATGCAGCTGCAAGGGGTGAAGACATACTCAGAGGTGTAAATTATGCATCTGCTGCTGCTGGAATTAGAGAAGAAACTGGCCAGCAATTGGTAATTCTATGGAAATATATAAATATTGTTGTTTCTTCATTTCCTTTGATTTTCTTCGGTTTTTGTGCACTGATCTTTTCTTATCTTCACATTTCTGAATTTCTGTTTACATAATTTTTATAGGGAGCGAGGATTAGTTTTGCTGCGCAGGTAAATAATTACAGGAATACAGTGCAACAAGTGGTGCAAATACTAGGAGATGAAGATTCAGCTGCAAATTATTTGAGCAAGTGCATATACTCTGTTGGATTAGGCAGCAATGATTATCTCAATAATTATTTCATGCCCCTTTATTACTCCACTAGCAGACAATTCAATCCGGAGCAATATGCTGATGTTCTTATTCAACAATATACTCAACAATTGAAGGTGAGTTTACCTATTTTATTTTTTAATTTAAGCGGTTGAATGAACAACTATTTAGGTTAATTCTTTATTTATTTTCGGCAAATTAACCCACACCATCACACGAGTCAACTCTTATTGTGCTATTGCGTATTTGTGTATTGCTTCAGACTTTGTATGATTATGGAGCAAGGAAGTTTGTCTTAATTGGAGTGGGGCAAATTGGTTGTAGCCCAAATTCTCTGGCACAAAACAGTCCTGATGGCAAAACCTGTGCACAAAATATAAATGTTGCAAACCAGATATTCAACAATAGGCTAAGGGGTATTGTGGATGATTTCAACAGCAATACACCAGATGCCAAATTCATCTACATTAATGCTTATGACATCTTCCAAGATTTAATTGACAACCCCTCAGCATTTGGTAATGTTTTTTTTTTCTTTCTAATAATTCTGTATTGTATGCTAAAGCAACCTATGACTCAAGAAATGTTAACTAAATAAAAATTTTGGCTAACACATTTGACTTTATAATTTTTTTTCAGGATTTAGAGTGACAAATGCTGGATGTTGTGGAGTAGGAAGGAACAACGGGCAAATAACATGTCTTCCTCTACAAAATCCATGCCCAAACAGAGATGAATATCTGTTCTGGGATGCATTTCATCCAGGTGAAGCTGCAAATGTAATTGTCGGGAGAAGATCATACAGAGCTGAAAGGCCATCAGATTCTTATCCTTTTGATATTCAGCGCTTAGCTCAACTCTGAAGATAAGAGATGAGGCTAAATCAGATCACTCATCCTCGTCTAAAATATTCTTGTGGAATTTTCTATTGTAATTGTCATATATAATGTACTATGAGTTATTAATTAATTTTATTATTTGAAAAATGTTGTAGCTTTGTCCTACATGTGAGTTCAACGACTTGCTTTTTAATTTTATTTTTTTCCTTTTTAGTTTCAAATAGTGTGTCTGTAGATTTTCCCATTAAACAGTGTATTCGATATCATTTAATAAATCGAAAATGGTCTGATCTGTTCCTCTACCATGATAAATTGTTTAAAGTTGTCCTCCGCTATACTATTGGACCATAAAACTTCTTGCCGTCTTACTATCCGAACAAATGTATCCTTAATTGGACGGAGGGAACACATGGCACCCATCCGTGCCCTTTTTACATCTGGGCACATATTAAGCGACCCACTCCACGAAACCCCCATACCCATAACCCGTAACCCGTGATTTATAACACAAAATAAACCCCAATCCTAAGTTATACTTCTACAGCCATTTCCATCAAACCCTCTATGCTCTAAGCTCCTTCAAGACTGCATTGCAACAAATTTCTTTTTCTATTGGTGGTGGTAAAAGTGGATCAAATATCGGAGTCTAGTGCTACATCAAAGAGGAGGTGCCATTGTGGAGAGATTGCCAACTACTTTCGATCGACCACACCTCAAAATCCCGGAAGGAGATTCTATAAATGTGCTAAACCTGAAGTAAGTTAAAAAATTTCATGTGTTTAGTTTATTAATGGTTTGTACAAAAATTAAATTTTTATTCCTTCTAACCTAATTATTGTTCATTATTGTTAGTGAGTCGTGTGGATATTGGGAATGGCAGACGAACCTTTTTCGGACCGACCGTTAATAGAAATCAGTAAGTTGCAGTGTAAATTGGATGCTGCTAATATACAATCAATATGTTGAAGCAACTGTCGGAGTCATGCAAGTTAGAAAGGGACAAATTGTCGGAAAAAGTTGAAGAGTTGGAGGTTGAAAAAAATGTTGAAGTGAACAAAGCAAGGGAAATCGAAGATAAAGTGGTTAAGATGAAGATGTTTATTTTGATTTCAGTTGCACTTTTTGTTGGATTTGTTGCGGAAATGTGGGTGGAGTAAATTCTGTAAAAGAAAGATGGCATATTCTCCATATTTCACTTCCTAGTTCTTGTAATACTTAGACATTTGTATGCTCTTATCTACCAACTTTTTAGCCATTGTAAAACAATGACATCAATTGCTAACGTATGTTCCAAGTACTAGTGTTTTGATGTTCTATCTATTGTCCCCTTTTAATGCTCATATCTACTGATTTGTACTAGTTTCAATTATTTAATTCCTTTGCTAAAGTTGTAAATAAAATATGTTTTCTTTCAAATGCTTGAAGATACTTCGAAACATAGACATTTGAAACATAGACACCCGAAGACAAATGCTTACAACAATTAAACTACAACTTAGAGCTTAGAACTAACAACTTACAATATTGAACTCCAATATGGCAAGTTAGAACTTCGAAACAGTTAGATTAATATGGCATCCAATTTCAGTAATTACATCACCAAAAACATACATTTTTCATAGTAACTCCAGTAATTACATCACCAAAAAACTATAATTTCAGTAATTACATCACTGGATGATAATATAATATCCAGTCATAACATTCAGAACCAACCATTAATGACAGAATACTAAATGAGAGATATCTGTCTATAAGTTTGCAGTAAGTACATCCCACACATAACAAAAAAATTCCAGCCTTGTCTTCATTTTTTCCTCTTTGATTTCAGCTTCCCAATTCTTTCTTGCCCTTGTTTTCTCAACTAATTTGCAGTTATGATAGCATTCCCCTTCCACTGTAATGTTGGGGCTGAATATGGTAGATTTGTTGGCACACTAACACCACTGTGATCATCAGTGAAGTTGATTGACCTTGTCCTAGCTGGTATTTGTACCTATTGTTTCATCCTAAGCCTTGTAGTTACTTCTGATATAACTCTGGGCCTAAGCACAACATCTTCTTCATGTCTAACTCTTGAACTAAACATTCTTTTAGGTGTAAGCATGAACCTAAGCCCACTGTCCTGACTTGGTTGAGTGGCTTGAGGTGCTGAACAATTGATATCATTTTCAGCTTGAGGTGCTGAACTGTCCTGACTTGGTTCAGTTTCATGATCTATCAAACAACTTGGCCTCTTCCTCTGCTGCTTTCCTTTTGAATTTTTTGCAGCAGGTGCTGAACTGGTTGCAGCCTGCTTAGTTGTTGTAGCAGGTGCTGAACTAATGACAACTTGCTCAGTTCTTCCACTCTTGCTTTGCTTCTTTCCCTGATAAAGATAGTTAAAAAGACAAGTTAGAAATATTCTTTATGTCTAGTATTTAATGCTTTGAAGTTCATGTAAAACAATTACCTGATTACAAGTCCTTGCATTATGAGTTGTTTCTCTACATTTGCTACAAGTCATGATTCTTTCTTTTTTGGACTGTGATCACACTCCTTGTCTTTTAATTGCCTCATCCTTCTGCTATCTCTCTTAACCTTAGATCTGCCAGCCAAATCACAACCTCTAGAGGCTCCATTGCTTGAGATGATTCAATCTTCCAAAACTTTTCTCCCCTAACAAGCTGTATCTTGTGCCTATAAGTCAGCAGAAATGCCTCCTTGCTATACCACCAGTTTATTTCTGTCATTGAATCACCAGAGTCATGAAGTATAGCTCTAATAGCATGTGGACATGGGATTCCTGTAAGGTCCCATGACCTGCAAGTGCACTTCTTCACAGCCAAATTGACACAATGCTTGTCAGATTCTTCTATAACTTCATAGCCATTTTGACCATTTGCATTTACTTCACACGCTGTTTGAGCAATCTACAGGTACTCATTGTACAAGTCCATGTATTTTGGACTGAAATCATGTCTCCAACTCCTAACTTCTTCTTCATGTTCTTTTAACAGGTTCATGGTCTTGATTCTGATGTCCTCTAGCATCTTGATTATAGGCTTATGCCTTGCATCCACAATCCACTTGTTAAAGGATTCAATCAAGTTATTTTCAACTAACTGATTCTTGCATATTGTGTCCATATATGTTCTACACCAGGCCTGAGGTGGGTACCTCAACAAAGCCTCTGCAGCATCTTTGTTCAAGTCCCATATTTTTTCTAGCTGATCTTTTAAATCTTCTGCATATGTGCACCATGTACACCACCATAAAACCTTCTTGTTTTCCCTAGTTTTGTACTGTTTGCACCAGTTAGATTCAATATGTCTAACACAATACCTGTGATGTGCCTAGGGAAGGACTATTTTGACTGCATCAAGCAATCCCTACAATGGTTATCCAAAACATAAAAAGCTGGTTAGAAACATATATCAAGTAAAAAGTAAATAGAAAAATGAATAAAAGTTGATAGAATTGTTTAGAAACTTCATCTTTTGCATATCTGACATGAAGGTGATTCCTTCCCCTTCCTTGAGGTCCAAAGAAGATTGAAGCAACTGCATGAACCAATTTCAAGTATTTTTTTGTCTCTTTATCAACAACTGCCCATGCCAAATGGTAAAAATGATATTGTGAATCCTATCCAATTGCCACTAACAGTTGGCCTTTGGCTTTGCCCTTCAAAAAAGTACCATCCAGACCAATAAAAGGTCTCATTCCTAGATTGAAACCCATCTTCAAAGCATGTAAACACACATACATCCTCAATAACCTTCTTCTTCCTTCTTCAAGTGCACTCTTTGAAAGTGTAACAACCACATCACTACCAGGGTTACTTTCCCTCAATTCATTGGCATAAACCTCAAGTTTATTGTACTCATCTGAAAAACTACCATCTAGTGACTCCAATACCATTCTCTTAGCCCACTTGCACTTCCCATGACTAACATTTAGCTCAAAGATTCTCTTCAAATCGAACATCATCTCCCTAACCATGTACTTAGGATTATCTTGTAACTTCTTCTTGAAATATTGTGCAATGGTACTAAAATCAATAGTTTTGTTATGAAATACAGTGCCACAATCCTGTTCAACATTTAATGTCTTAATTTTAACCCCAACAAATTTTTCTTTTGATATTAAACAAACAAAGGGACAACCAACAATATCACAACTATACCTAAGCCTTTCTAGGTCACTCTTCTCTAATTTCAATCTTTTCTTGTTAGCCAGAGAATATAATTTCATATACTTCCTAGCTTCTGGTATGTCCGTTTGTATAACTCTTTGTGGTCACTAAGTTTTTCAGTTATTTTCCTTTTCTTTTATGCTTTAAATTTTTCTAATTCTTCAGAATTGTATCCGTCAGAGTCAGTACTAAAGTCAGATCCTATATAACTTAAGCTACAATCAGTACCAACATCATCCACAACTTTATTAGATTCTTCTTCATATTGTACAATATTGGGAATAGAGTAAATAGGGGACTCACATTCATCTACACCAAATATGTTCACTACATTGAATTCATTTTGTATTAACTTTTGTAAATGTCTAACACCATCATCCTCTTCAATCACATAAAATTTATCAGATGGGTAGCAACTATATGTTGTTGAACCCCTATGTCACGACCCAAAATCCATTAAAGATCGTGATGGCGCCGGACATCGCTGTCAGGCAAGTCAACACTAAATACTTGATTTAGGTCTCATTTTAATATTTTTACAATCATAGTTTTCCTTCAATTAAATAGTAGAGGATAAAAAAAATTCCGAGTAAATAATAACATTTTTAACAATCTCAATACTGAATAACCCATAATCACCCCAGAATTCAGTGTCACAAGTGTATGAGCATCATTACGAAAATAAAAATGAAATACAACATCTGTCTGGAATACAAATTTGGACAGGAAAGAAATATAAATACTCTGAAGGAGACTCTGTTGGCTACGAGTCGTATGGAATGCAACTCACCTAAGTCCCCGCATTAACCACGTCGCTGCGCCCACAAGGCCACTAAATATATATGTTCTTGCACAACAAAATATGCATCAAGTGTAGTATGGGTACGTAAACAACAAGTACCCAGTAAGTATCCAGTCTAACCTCGAAGAAGTAGTGACGAGAGGTCGACTCCGACACTTACTATGGGCCAACAATAATATACCGATAATATAATTAATTATGGATTTTATAAAACAGCTATAAACTCAATAATAAGAAGCAAGTAAACAATTCTTGTGTTAATAAGATATTTCCAAATTTTATTTTCATCACTTATCATCTGTACCTCAAGTCAATGAAGTAAAATCAATTATTATAGATTTCAGAGCAACCAATTAAATCATGTGCAATCATGCCGAGGTCATACGACCCGATCCAATATAATATTTAAACTGTGCACTGTCGAGGGTCGAACAGAACGAACCATAGATGCATCTATCTGCTACCGAGGCATTTGGCCCGCTCCACGAAAAGAAAGTACATTCAAACAACCAAATCAAGAATTATTAAGGGGCACTTATTCAAGGAAATACCAAATTCTCATTTAACATTCAAGAAAAAAAATGAAGTTTAACCTTTTCAAATTTCTTTACCAAGTTCAATATGATTTAAGCAATTAAATTAAGAAGAAGGTTGCAAGCATCACAAGTATAATATGAATTGGGTCCTAGACTACCCGGACTTAAGCATGATAGTAGCTACATACGTACTCTCATCACCTCGTGCGTACGTAGTCCCCCACAAATAGAAACACATATTGAGTTATTTTACCTATGAGGTTAATTTCCTCTTAAAAGGTTAGAAAGGAGACTTACCTCACTCCGAAATTTCATAGCCGGCTCCCAAGCCTTTCCAACAACTCAAACAGATGCTCAACGCTCCAAAACTAGTCAATAAATGTTCAAACCCATAAAAATGTACTCTAATACTCACAACAATTCAATTTAAACAATTTTTCCAACTCCGCTCGAAAAGTTGACAAAATCACACTCGGGCCCACGTGCACGGATTCCGAAAATTTTCGAAGATAAACTTTACTCATAACACCACAAACTCAAATATATAATTTATTCCAAGTTCCATGTCCAATTTCGTGGTCAAAATTCGAAAATATAAATTTCTAGGTTTTTTTTCAAAACCCCGAATTTCCACTAATTTCTCGTGATTTTCCATGTTAAAATCCAGATATAATCAAAGTAATTAACTTGCAATAGGTGAGATTAACATACCTCCAAGTTACTAGGTGAATACCCCGATCAAGAAGTTCCAAAAATCGCCCAAGAATGAAGAAATGAGCGAAAATGCTCAAACCCCAGCTTTAAAAACTCATTGCCCAGCGATCTTCGCGCCTACGACAAAATCCTCCACACCCACGGTAAAATCCTTCGCGCTTGCGGTGTCTACGCCTGCGATGGATTTTTTGAACTTGCAGCTTCGCATCGCAGCAAAATTCTTTGCGCCCGCGGTGCCTGGCCAGCCCATGCATTTTCGCTTCTGCGACTCATGCCCCGTTTTTGCGAGCTCGCACTTGCGTCTATCCAAGCACAGGTGCGATCGCACCAGAAGCTGGGAGCTTCAGCTGATGCTCTCCAAGTTCTAACTTGGTCTGAGGCTCATCCGGTTAACACCAGAGGCTCCCGGGGCCTCGCCCGAACATACCAACAAGTTTGAAATCATAAAACGGGCTCGCTCGAACCCTCTAAATGCATAAAACAACATCAAAACTAAGAATCACACCTCAAATCAAATTGATTCAACTTAGAAATTTCAAACTTCTACATTCGATGTCGAACCCTATCAAATCACGTTCGATTAAGCTCAAATTTTGCACACATGTCACATTAAACATTACGGACCTACTTCAACTTTTGGAATCGAAATCCGACCCCGATATCAAAAGTCCACTCCCGGTACTTCTCAAAAACTTTCAAATTTCTAACTTTCGCCAATTGACCCCAAAATGACCTATGGACCTCTAAATCCAATTCCGGACGCACTCCCAATACCAGAATCACCATACAGAGCTATTCTCAGACTCGAAATCCCAAACGGACCTCGATAACATGGAAATGCACTTCAATCCAAATTTATTTAATTCTTCCAAAAATGCTAACTTTCTCAATAGGCGCCAAAACTCTCCCGGGTCATCCAAAACCCGATCCGAACACACGTCCAAGTCCAAAATTATCATACAAACCTTTTGGAACCTTCAAATCCCGATTCTGAGGCTGTTTAATCAAAAACTCCAACCTTAGTCGATTCTTCTAACTTAAGGCTCCCGAAATGAGAACTTTCTCTCCAAATCAACTCTGAACTTCCTGAAATTCAATTTCGACCACGCGTACAAGTCATAATACCTGAAGTGAAGCTGCTCATGGCCTCAAACCACCGAATGACGTGCTAGTGCTCAAAACGACTGGTCGGGTCGTTATATTCTCTTCCACTTAAAATACGTTCGTCCTCGAACGTGCTAAGAACTGCTTTGGAGTTGTATGAAACCATTGTTTAATACCTCGTGCACCTACCCATGTTACCACAACTCAGTTGAGCATATTTGCTCAAGCAATCTGAAGATTCCTCTTTTGTTGAGTCAAATTAGCCTTAGAGCCAAATTCCAATGTCCGAAGTTTTCCACCAGGCCCGTTTTCAACATACGAATACCGTATCAATCACTACACACTGTACCAAATCATGATTGCACACCCTTGCCGAATTCACACAATGCACCACATAATTCACGTGACCATAATATCATTCTTTGATGACAATAGCCAAAATTCTACGAATTCGACACCCACAACACACCTCATGACACATATAAGTCCCGTTCCAACTCCTGCAATGCTGCCACGACAGAAGAGATGTGTAAAAATTCATAACCAACTGCCGAGTCAACAAATTATTGGGTTCATCCTCCTGACAAGGACCGCTACCTCATTCTGAACCACACAATGATAATTGCTCTTTAATATACTTCATACAAATCCGACCGCATCGATCCTAGGTCCAATAATCTCGTGTCATCCAGTACAACTCGTTCCGACCATAACCACCACAAACACTACCTAAGATCTCATGTGATACCGGCAATGCGCCAGCCATCCGTAATTTGAATATGATACATAAGGAGGAACGAGCTCTAGAAAAGAACTATCCAGCATGCGTAACGACTAAAACGGCCATCAAATACTATGAGCCTTTCTCAGAGAAAAGAAATAGGACACACAAAACACATATAAGAAACCATACTCAACATTTCACTGTTGCAGCGTGCAACCCGATCCACACACAATACTATTGCAGCGTGCAATCCGATCCACACACAATACTGTTGCGGCGTGCAATCCGATCCAAAAAACATACATATGGCGGTGTGCCACCCGATCCAACCATATCCCCGTGGCAGCGTGCCATTCTGTCCACACATAATAATCTATAAGGAAATACTTATCGAGTTAAAATGCTCATAACTACGAGATACCTAAATATCGACCACAAGCATGCCAAGTGCATAATACCATCCCTAGGGAGACAGACAACGCCATACGCCACAAAACTCAAGCACAACCAAGGTGTCATATATGATTTGCATCTCGAGAGCCATCCTGTTTATATAACACCACAAACTACACGGAATCTCAATACGAATGTGAATAATCAAACCAACTCACAACCCACATAGCACAATAGAGTATTACATGAAATAGCTGATGATAGGAGTAACATCCAAGGCCCGAATACTCCTCCATAAACAACGCTAAGATGAAATGAACACATCCGGCCTTATATGGAGCCCACATTCATATTTAGATCCATCCATGGACCTCGAGCAGATTCTGATTGTACTGTACTGGGATAATAACCCTTTAAGGTTCCACAATAACCCCCTATGTTCTACACACAAAAACAACCATCAAATTCGGAACAAACTTTCACAGTTCACACCTAAATGAGTAGAGTGCCTTTCGGGCCTAAACTCTCACATTAACGATAGTACCAAAATCTCCATACTTGGTTTCAATCTTCAATCAATCATGTGACTATATTCACCCTTCTACCATCTTCCTGTGGGATACGCTCCCACGGCCATTCCGCACCAGGTAACGAGTCTACACATCCATACCACTGGCCACACTCATGCTGCAAAGAGAATCAAGGATCCGCAAGTCATTACACAAAGCCTCTTACTCATGACACTGATCTTAGGTGACATTGAAGATAATATCAGCTTGATAATACTAATGCTCGTCCGAGCTTGTGACATTCTTATTAACACCGAACTGCCACCTTGATCCTCAACTCCAAATTCCCATGCTACCCACTGCACTTAAATCATGCCAATACGCAGGAGTACAAGAATTTCATCATAACTCCTGAACACTAATAGGGTACATACTTCATCGTATAGAAACCCTTAACTTAACTCATTTCAATAGAACCATTGCAACACGTGACTAAATTCTCATAACCGCAAAAAATACCAACCTCAAGTAGTGGTATAAACCACCATAACTCTCCCGGGATCCGTCTACACATAACATGCCATACTACTCGAATGCCTCTAAATAAATCAATTACGGCGGCCGTCAAGCCTTGCACGTATTACCGCAAACCACATGTATAACTTAATACGCTGAAGGAACTGATCACTACCACCATCATGACAATTCAACCGTTGCTAACTGATCCGACTTATTCTAATTTACTCTAGGATTACCTTAGGAATAATAATAGCCCCAATCAATACATCACAAACCCAAATCCGAACTCATCCTGAGTGACCTTATTTTACGAGACCACATTGTCTCAAAACTCACGAACCATTACATACCTTCCTTGTGCGCATATTCGCGTATTCAACTGGTACAACCCTTGTGATAATTCCTCCATGAATCCGAAGTCATTTTCTCCCATTCCTCTCATGCTACACTGAAGACCAAAGATAACATAGAACACTCCAAGCCCCATTTTTCATAATCTGCTGCAAAAGCTAGATACTTAACCATACTGCGTACTCGAGATCCTTAGGCACCACACTTTAACTTTTGAATTCACTAGGACCGTTGTTGAGAGTCACCCACTCTGACTTGGCCCCGAATATAATCAACTCCAAGGCTCCGCTAGCACATGAACACCCTCTCAAAGTAACACCCGGCCGAATCACCTTTCTTGGAAATCATCTCTACGCAAAACATAAATCCAGAGTCTTCCCAAAATCTGAACATAAGTTGATAAGGCCAATCATAGCACACATTCCTTAAATCCTTTGCTCAAAACATCACTAGTGTCCTCTTTTCTTAGTCATAATAACCCATCAATATGCCGATAACCAGAAACCTCACTAGTAGATAACCAAGCAATCCAATCGTAGGTGGTGAGGCTCTCCCACTTAGCTTGAAACTACCATTGCATAAAACTGGAACCCACCAAGATTCTTTCTTTATTGTTGACATGATGTTGCACAATCAACCCGCCAAATTTCTCAAAATCTTTCTATTAAATCTTTCATGAACATTCTGAATTACTAGCCATATTTACTTATCCGGCCTCTTACTGGATAGCCAAGAGAGTTCTTCGTAGAAGTCAACACCACGCGACCGTTAACCTTCCCACAAGAGATAACCACCTGTGGAAATTACATGCCGACATATTCCAACGTCGTTGCACTGGTTACAATTACTACAACATCAGTGACCTATCCTGAGCCCGTGCTCATTCACCAACTGTACAAGTCCATTCACTCCTCATGGAAATCAACTAAAGGTGTGAAAATATCTTCCAATCCCAAGTCATGTTGTATCCTTCTTCATATTAAGCAACTCCTTCCTATCGCATCCAAATCTCCCGCCATATAATAGCCGATATTCTGAATTAAGTCCGTTGACCCAGTCACTGTCCACCATGAATCCCAAATCACTCTAAACTTCCTTAAGGCGTGTAGATATTCTACCACAGAACCCATAAGCTACCCTTCCACTCTGCTACTTAGGTCAAACTCACTCGTATGAGCAACTACTCGACTCCTGTTTCTCATACTTAGCCTTCTAGAAGTTTATCTACCATAAGACACCTTACACATGTCCTTCTTCATCCTTCGCTGCCTAGTTGTTACCTTAAGTCAAAATCCATCTCTGTAGCATTTGACCCAATAGATCGCTACCAACTTTGAACCCCTTCGAAGATCATCTTTCTCGATCCATCAACACCAGGAACACCGATTCAATCCTGAACCACTGCACACCGCGATCTCTGATAGACGCTTCTCTAGCACTAATTCACACCACCCTGCCCCGATGGGGATTTGACATAGACCATAGCATCGACAAACTTAACACATTCAATCAGGGGCGGCAATACCACATTATTGATGAAAAATCTACCACGCTCGAAAATACCGAGTCTCGTTACTTCATCAACCTAACTTGAACATTCATAGTCCGATTGCCTTTCCTCTGCTGGAGATAAAACACCGAATCTCTGAATCATGCATGGAGAAAATCTCCTTTCAAGTTATTCACTGCCCCGACACTTAGACAAGCATCTGGCCATTACATCAGTACTGTGCGATCACAACTCATGAACATCATATCAACCTGTGCATGGCCTCAAAAACCATCAGAAATACCGCTACTAAGTAGAAATGGCAAAATATCCTTCCGCAAGACGACGACATTAACCCAATCGAATATGTAGGGAGAAACATCCTGCACCACACCTACAGTACCTTTACAATTCCTCAATTCCAATTGATAACAAGCGCTTCACGTCACATAAGATTGAATAGGAAAGAAATAAAGGCATAAGCCTCAAAGGAATCAAATCGCACGATGAGAAATCAAGAAAGGAAGTGCTCCTAGCAACCCTGTAGCCTCTCAAAGATAAGTACAGATGTCTTCGTACTGATCCGCAAGACTCTACTAGACTTGCTCATGACTTGCGCAACCTAAGTGAACCTAGTGCTCTGATACCATGTTGTCATAACCCAAAATGTATTAAAGGTTGCGATGTCGCCATATACCGCTGTCAGGAAAGGCAACACTAAATACTTGATTTAGGTCTCATTTTAATATTTTTGAAATCGTATTTTGCCTTCAATTAAATAGTAAAGGATAAAAAAAAATTACGAGTAAATAATAACATTTTAACAATCTCAATACTGAATAACCCATAATCACCCTAGAACTCGGTGTCACAAGTGCATGAGCATCATTAGGAAAATAAAGTAAAATACAACATCTGTCCGGAATATAAATTTGGACAGGAAAGAAAATATAAATACTCTGAAAGAGACTCTGCTACTTGCGGATCGTAATATGGAATGTAGCTCACTATGTCCCGCATTAACCACGCCGCTGCGCCTACAATTCCACTAAATATATATGTGCCTGCACAATAAAATGTGCAGTAAATGTAGTATGAGTACGTAAATAACATGTGCCCAGTAAATATCTAGTCTAACCTCGAAGAAGTAGTGACGAGAGGTCGACTCCGACACTTACTATGGGCTAGCAATAATATACCGATAATATAATTAATTGTGGATTTTATAAAACAGTTGTAAACTCAATAACATGAAGCAAGCAACCAATTCTTTTGTTAATAGGGGATTTTCAAATTTTATTTTCATCACTTATCATTTGTATCTCAGGCCAATAAAGCAAAATCAATTATTCTAGATTTCAGAGCAACCAATTAAATCATGCGCAATCATGCCAAGATCGTGCGGTCTGATCCAACATAATATTTAAACTATGCACTACCGAAGGTCGAACCACACGAACCATAGATGCATTTATCTGCTATCGAGGCGTTCTGCCTGCTCCACGAAAAGAAAACATATTCAAACAACCAAATAAAGAATTATTAAGGGGCACTTGTTCAAGGAAATACCAAATTCTTATTTAATAGTTAAGAAAAATAAATGAAGTTTAACCTTTCCAAATTTCTTTACCAAGTTCAATATGATTTAAGCAATTAAATTAACAAGAAGGTTGCAAGAATCGCAAGTATATCATGAATTGAGTTCTAGACTATGCGGACTTAAGTATGATAGTAGCTACACACGGACTCTCGTCACCTCGTGCGTACATAGCCCCCACAAATATAAACACATATTGAGTTATTTCACCTATGGGGTTAATTCAACCTTGGGCCCACGTGCCCGAATTCCGAATATTTTTGAAGATAAACTTTATCTATAACACCATGAACTCAAATATATAATTTATTTCAAGTTCCATGTCCAATTTCGTGGTCAAAATCTGAAAATATAAATTTCAAAGTGTTTGTTCAAAACCTCGAATTTCCACTAATTTTCCATGTTAAAATCTAGATATAATCTAAGTAATTAACTTGCAATATGTGGGATTAACTTATCTCCAAGTTGCTAGGTGAATATCCCTCTCAAGAAGTTCCAAAAATCGCCCAAGAATGAAAAAATGAGCAAAAATGCTCAAACCCCCGCTTTAAAAACTCAGTGCCCAGCGATCTTCGCGCCCGCGGCAAAATCCATCGCGCTCGCGGCAAAATCCTTCACGCCTGTGATGGATTTTTTGCACCTGCGGCTTCGCACCCGCGGCAAAATTCTTCACGCCCGTGGTGCTTGGACAGCCCATGTATTTTCGCTTCTGCGACTCATGCCCCGCTTCTGCGAGCTCGCACCTGCGGCTATCCAAGCACATGTGCGATCGCACCAGAAGCTGGGAGCTTCAGCTGATGCTGTCCAAGTTCAAACTTGGTATGAGCCTCATCCGATTAACACCCGAGGCCCCCGGGGCCCCGTCTGAACATACCAACAAGTTTGAAATTATAAAACGGGCTTGCTCGAACCCTCACAATGCGTAAAACAACATCAAAACTAAGAATCACACCTCAAACCAAATTGATTTAACTTAAAAATTTCAAACTTCTACATTCGGTGCCGAACCCAATCAAATCACGTTCGATTGACCTCAAATTTTACATACATGGCACGTTCAATGTTACGGACCAACTCCAACTTTCGGAATCGAAATTTGACCCTGATATCAAAAAGGCCACTCCCGGTTAAACTTCTCAAAAAATTTCAAATTTCTAACTTTCGCCAATTGTCTCCAAAATGATCTATGGACCTCCAAATCCAATTCCGAACACACTCCCAATACCGGAATCACCATACAGAGCTATTCTCAAACTCGAAATCCCAAATGGACCTCGAAAACATGGAAATACACTTCAATCCAAATTTATTTAATTCTTCCAAAAATGCAAACTTCCTCAATAGGCACCGAAAGCTCCCAGGTCATTCAAAACCCGATCCAAACACACGTCCAAGTCCAAAATTATCATACAAAGCTGTTCGAACCTTCAAATCTCGATTCCGAGGTTGTTTACTCAAAAATCCAACCTTAGTAGATTCTTCCAACTTAAAGCTCCCAAAATAAGAATTTTCTCTCCAAATCAACTCCAAACATCCCGAAATTCAATTCCGACCACGCGTACAAGTCATAATACCTGAAGTGAAACTGCTCATGGCCTCAAACCGCCGAACGATGTGCTAGAGCTCAAAACGACCGGTCGGGTCGTTACACCCTAAAAATCCTAGCTCATTTGTGAATTCATTCACTATGTCTATGTGTAAAAGTAAGTCAGAGTCATAACCTAACCAAGTCTTTACCAATTTTTCTGTGTAGAAAACTTCAAGCTCAGTAACCCAATCACCATCATAATTGAGTATTAAGTCAACTAGCACCATCTCCAACAACCTATCAAGAACAACAATAAAATATACCATTTAGAAGACATAAAGTAAACAATGTAAAAGTCAGTAGTGAGAAAAGAATAATTAATTGTGGTTAAATGTCATTA